CCATTCCCCCTCTACGTGCTCCTACGTCCTTCTTCTGCCCATTTCCTTCCGTCTCTTCAGTCACATTTTCTTCCCGTCCCTCTACATGACCTCCCCTGGATCCATCCTCTGTTATTCACTCCCCCTGTCTCTTCATGTCAACCCTCCACTCATCTCCCATTCTCTGGGCTAATATTCTGGCCTCAGAGTCTGAGATAGACTCTGACACTGGCAGGACAGAGCTCAGGGAATGCTGCACTGTCAGTTGCCATCGTTCAAATGTTATGTTAAATTAAAGACCATTTTTCAGTTAAGGTAGTCCTCAGAGATCCATTATTGAGGACATGTAACAGACCACGTTCTGAGAGATTTCTCTGTCCCACAGCAGCCTTTGCTGATTATTTTCTGCACCTCTGGGACAGAGTGAGATTGCCTTGGATGATATAATTTATATCAGCGTAGACTTAGGAGGTACTGGGGAGTTGGGGGGTGGTGGTGGGGGACTTCCCAGCTTTCAATTTGCAGTCTGATCACTAACTGCACCAAAACCCTGCCAGGCTGCACGGGAGCGAACCATTTATCACTTCAATCTTGGCGAGAATATTTCTGCCGCTCTTTATTTCATCTCCCAGTGACCCCTGTGACCCTGCCTTTAATCAGGAGTGTCACAGAGCCTAATTAGAAAAAAAGGATATTTCTGATCATTGCTTGACTCTATTATCACAAGTGATTGGGAGCTAATAAGATTTTAATGACATTCATTTGGAATAACCAGTAATCTGATAAGGAAGTTCCCAATCAAAGTGAAGCAATTGAGAAAATAGGGCCTCAGAGATGCCATATTTTTCTGGTTTAATTATCAACAGAATGGGAATGCAGGATGTCAGAAGGGAGAGAAATCCGATTGAATAGGCAGATAGATCACTTTGATCAGCCTTAGACAAAAATAAAGTGACGGCCCCATTCAGTGCAATCTAACAGGGCTATATTTTAAACCAAACATTGTGCCTTGGAGAATGGACTGTTTCCTTTTGATACAACTGGATTGGTAAGCATTGTAGGGGAGATTAATTACAATCTGATGGCTATAGTGAAGCCTTGTGGGAGCTCCAGGAGCTGTTTGATTCAGCTACAACATGTTTACTTCTGAATAAGAAGATGCAAATCTTCTTCTGGACAATCCTGGTGAATGTAAGGTCGAAGAATATCAGAGAATTCTAGATTTACATTCACTCTGGGCTAAAGTTTACATGTCGCTAACTCCCTCCCCATACTGTACAAGCTGCAGGGAGTAAGCTGTGGAAGACTGACTATTGGCTGCAGTAGAGATGGTCACAGTAGGGAAGGAGTGTTCCTGCGAATCAACTTCCTAGTTTTCCTGCGAGAAGAGTTTGAAGATGTAGAACTAATGAGAAATAATGACCATGGAGAATCTAGAAGCTATTCTGGAGAGTCTTGAGTTTGTAGAGAAGGGCTCAAGCAGAAGCCAGTTGGGTATATGAGCCGAAGGAGAGATATCAGCAATGTTTCAGCTTCGATCTCCATCCATTGTTGATTGTTGAATGATGTTGACAGGTGGATGGGAGCTGTTCTCTCTCTCTATGTCTATGTTCAATTGTCTTCCTATTATCCTCCAATGGTTGTATCTCACACTATCCATATGCTTCATCATGATGTCCATATTCTGTAAATATCTAATCCTTCTGATCAAATAATGCCTGCACACCAAGAGTATTTTATATTCCCCTCCCTCTGTCCAGTATCTACTCCATATCCCTCTCTTTCTGCTTCATGTCTACCCTATTTCTTCCTTTCACTACCCTGCATCTAATCCATATCCCCCCTCGCCACCCACACCATTCCCCCCCTTTCTGTCCTGTGTTTACGTTATACAAACCCTCTCTGTGCCCTATGTCTACCCCATACCTCTCTCTCTGTGCCCCGTGTCTACCCCATACCTCCCTCTCTGTGCCCTGTGATTGTCCAATATCCATATCTTCCTGCCCTGTGTCTACCCCACATCCTAATCTCTCTGTCCTGTAGCTACCTCATATCCCCATCTCTCTATCATGTATCCCCTGTCTCTGCTCTGTCTACCCGATATACATATCTCTCTGTTCAGTACCTACCCCTATTCTCTGTCTCTGCTCTGTAAATACAGTATATCCCCATCTCTCCGCCCTGTGCATATCAACCCCCTTCTTCTCCTTGCATTCTCACCCACATCTGTCTGCCCTGAGGCTACCCCATATTGCTCCTTTGAGCCCCATATCCTCATCTCTTGTGTCCTGTGTCTATCCCCCTCTGTCTGCTCTGTGTCTGTCCTGCATCCTCTTACTCCCCTTATCCCATTCCTTACTCTCTGTTGTGCCTATCTGTACCCTCTTCCTGTTCTTATTCTGGATCCTATCCTATCCCCATCCCATCTGCTCTCTCCCTCTGCCCTGTTCCTCTCCTCCACCCCTCATTGGTGCCCCAGTCTGCAGTGCCTGAGTCACTTTGCAAAGCTTTGATATCCCAAGCTATCACTACACTCAAACAAACCTACAGTTCTAACAGTTCACATTTCTAAGTTCTCCATATTAATAGCTACACAAGGAGATGACATATCATAGCAGTGTAAGAATGATGACATTTTCTGCCCTTATTAAAGAGCTTATTGCATTATACATGTTGTGCTACTGCAGATCACATTGGGTATGGAAGTTGAAAGTTAATGAGATGCTTTCCCAACGTGTGAGATTTATTCACCTCCTCCTCCTGTTGAATATTTATGTATATGCTTTCTAAAAAATGATTATAATCGCAGAAGAAAAATAGCTGTGTAAGTACATTTAAATTTAGGAATCAATTCTGCCGAAACTCAAACCATGTCTGAGAGACTCACCATGGAGAGGACCAACAGCAGTGAGGATTTCAGAAAGGGGTTCTAGGGAAAAGTCAAGTTTTCCCATTACAGGGATAAGCTACAAAGGTTTCAGTGGTGCGTTTTCTGTTGGAGGTTAATGAAGGTGAATGTGTTCTCTTGGATGAAGCAAAGGTTTTTTTTTGAGATTTCACTAAAGCGGGCCTGGGCAATTTATTGACGACGATGAAGAGTTTGGCAACCGGGGAAATCCAGCGAGAGGGGTGCAGTGGGGGAGCAGCATTTGTACACAGCGAGTGGTAGTGAGCTGGAACTTTCTGCCTACAAGAGTGGCGTTAACAGAGGTGACCAATGATTACAGAGGAAGTTTGAGCGGGCACTTGAGGGAAATAAAACAACAGAGCTACAAAGATAGAGTGGGGGAATCGGAATGATTGGGTTACTTCATTGACATCCAGCATGGATGTGGAAGCTTCGCCTTTGACTATTTTTAAGATAGAAATTGATAGGTTTCTGATTACCGGTAGGATACAGGGTTATGGACCGGATAAAAACCATTAAAGTGTTCAAACTGTCATGGTCACATTGGCTGGCAGGGCATGCCACACTGAATGGAGTCCTCCTGTTCCTGCAGCATGGAGTGTCAAATGTCACTGCGCATGGGCTTGGAACGGTTAATGTTGCACAGTGCCATTAATACCACTCTCTACAGTTATGCCACATGGACTTGTGAGCAGAACAGCTCAGCATTTGGGGGGAGTGAGACCAAACATCCAAGCCCTCCCTAAATTGTCCATAACAATGTCTACTTTTATCAATGTAACCAGTAACTAGATGCAAGCCTGCCTTCGCTTGGTTAAGATGTTGAAATGAGGGCCTGTTTACTCTCTCGAATGGGAATAAAGAACCACGTGACACTGTTTTAGAATAAAACTGGGACCTGTTTGTCTGCATTTGTCGTGGGAAATCAATGCAAAACACACTCAGTTCGCAG